CTTTATTGCTTGCAAAAAGACTGCTGATGCATCTAATATAGCTAAATTGTTTTTCAGGGAGATTGTGTGTCTTTACGGAGTTCCTAAATCCATCACTTCTGATAGAGACACCAAGTTTCTTAGTCATTTTTGGATCACTCTTTGGAGGATGTTTGGAACAACATTAAACAGGAGTTATACAGCTCATCCACAAACCAATGGACAAACTGAGGTAACCAATAGAACTTTGGGGAATATGATTCGGAGTGTTTGTGGGGATAAACCAAAACAGTGGGATTTGGCTTTGCCTCGAGTTGAATTTGCTTACAATAGTGCAGTGCATTCTGCGACAGGAAAATCACCTTTTTTTCTAGTATATACTTCTGTTCCTAAGCATGTGGTTGATTTGGTTAAGTTTCCTAAAGCTCTTGAGGTCAGTACATCAGCTAAGACTATGGCTGAAGAGATTTTAGCTACCAAAGAAGCTGCTAACGCTAAGTTAGAGGCTATAGGGAAGAAGCATAAAGTTGTTGCTGATACGTGTAGACAGGCTAAAGTTTTCCAAGAAGGAGATGACATGATGGTATTCCTCCATAAAGAGAGGTTCCCAGCTGGCACGTATAACAAGCTGCAACCACGCAAGTATGGACCATTCAAGGTGTTACGGAAGATCAATGATAATGCTTATGTTATCGCTCTCCCAGAATCTATGAACATTTCTAATACTTTTAACGTAGCTGACATTCATGAGTATCATGCGGATGAGGTTATTTATCCAGAAGAAAACTTGGGGACAAGTTCTTTTGAGGTGGAGGAGACTGATGTAAGAGAGACTTAATAGTTTTTTTATCGTTATTTTCTTTCCTTTTTTATTATTATTGTTATTTCCTTTATTATTATTGTTCCTCTCTATATATAGAGAACCTAATTTAGTTGCTAGATAACAATAGATTTTTTTTAAGGTCGTGATTTTTTTATTTTGGTGGATTTTTCCAGAATGCTTCTCAAAGTTCAACGCTTGTGAACTTATTTTCATTCTAGGTTTTACCGACTGCATCATTTTCCATTCGGAAGGTAGCCTATGTGGAAGGCCTGCAACACAACCTAATTAGTGTATCTCAATTTGTTGTAGATACTGGATTGAAAGTGTCGTTTGATGATGAGGGATCTGAGATCATAGAAAAGAAGACCAAAACAGTTATTCAAAAGTCAAAGAGAAAAGGCGAGATGTATTCGTTGAATATGAATCCTATCAAAGGAAAGTCGGCCATATGCCTTCTTACTAAAGCATCTTCAGATGATAGTTGGCTCTAGCACTGAAGGCTCTCGCACCTTAACTTCAAGGATATCACCAAACTCGTGTTTGGTGATCATGTGTGCGGCTTGCCACTTCTAAAGTTTGACAAAGAACATCAATTTGCAGCCTGCAAACTTGGGAAGCAGAGCAGGAAGAGTCCTTCGACAATAATCAACACCAAAGTGATTGAACCACTTGAACTGTTACATATAGATCTATGTGGTCCATCATCCATCGAGAGTATTGGTAGTAACAAATACATATTAGTAATTGTTGATGATTTTTCCAGATTTACGTGGGTTTATTTTCTTAAATAGAAATCAGAATCCCCTTCCAAGCTTAAGGACTTTATCAAGCAGATCGAACTTCAAATGCGAAAGCCAGTTCGCAACATTCGCAGCGATAATGGTTCGGAGTTCAAAAACCAAGTGTTTGAAGAATTCCTGACTGAAAAAGGGAGTTGCTCACAACTTCTCGGCTCCTTACACTCCCCAGCAGAACGGAGTTGTTGATAGACGAAACCATTCTTTGTGCGAAGCTGCGAGAACCATGCTATCTTTTGCGAATTTGCCACTTTACTTTTGGCCATACGCTATTGGCACAGCCTGTTTCACTCAGAATAGATATCTCCTTAATAAACGATTCTCCATCACCCCTTATGAAGTTCTTAATAAAAGAAAACCTAACGTTAAGTTCTTTCATGTCTTCGGTTCTAGGTGTTTCATTTTTAATTCAAAGGAGCAAAGGAACAAGTTCGATGTAAAAGCAGACGAAGGAATTTTCCTAGGGTGTTCTCTGACTTCGAAGGCATATAGGGTTCTCAACAAAAAGTCCAAAAAGATAGAAACCTATTATGTCACCTTTGATGAAAATTATCTAAAGAAGTATCAGAAGGCTGACTCTCAATCAAAGGAGATTTTTCTCACGACCAATCCAATGACGATTCCTCTTTCTAACCTTTATGAGGAATTCCTGAACTTATTTGATGAGCCAGAGAAGGCGATCTCTTTGGAATCCAAAGCAGCTGATAACAAGGAAGATGAACTAAAGAAGATTATCGATGATGCTGCGAAGGATCTTGAAAACGAACCACCCACTCCGAATGACTTCGACATTCCATCTCAAGCACAAGCTACGAATTCTCCAGTTCATGGGGAGGGTTCTACATCAACCTCCACACCTAGCACACCTATTCAGGGGGAGGATTCAACTCCTCAAGTACACCTCAAAAGTCCAATCCATGGGGAGAATCCTACTTCGGACAAAGAACCAAATCAATCATTCGAGGGGGAGAATGCAAATACAAATGATGATTCGGACTTTCAATCAGAATTTGAAGACGTGAACATTGAACTGGGTCCATCCTATGATCCGAACTACCCTCCACTGACCAAATGGACCATAGATCATCCCAAATCGCAAGTGATCAGAGAAACATCTACTGGAGTTCTTACGAGAGCTCAACAAAAAGCGAAATAGAGTGCATTATTCTACAAAGGGGAATTTTGCATGTTTAATTCGTTTATCTCAAAGATTAAGCCCAAAAATGTTAAGATTGCTCTTGATCATTCTGATTGGGTGCAAGCAATGCAGGAGGAGCTCAATGAGTTAGAACACAACAAGGTTTGGAGACTGATTCCCACTCCGAAGTATGTATCTGTTGTTGGTCTCAAATGGGTGTTTCATAATAAGCTTGATAAATAGGTAATATGACAGGAAACAAGGCTCGGTTAGTAGTCAAAGGGTATTGCCAAAAGTAAGGCATAGATTATGAGGAAACGTTCGCACCAATTGCAAGGCTAGAGTCTGTTCACATCTTTCTGCCATATGCAGCTCACAAGAACTTTGAAGTCTACCAAATGGACGTCAAGTGTCCCTTTCTGAATGGGGAGTTAGAAGAAATAGTATATGTGGAACAACCACTAGGGTTCGTAAACAAGAAATATTTGAACCACTCCTATATTTTGGACAAAATCGTGTATGGTCTGAAACAAGCTCCACGAGCATGGTATGAAACTCTCACTAGATTCCTAAAACAATCTAAATTTAAACAAGGCTCGGTTGACCCAGCCTTCTTTCGCAAGAAAGTGATGGGTTTGAGCCAAAAGAACATCCTATGTGCTCATGCAAACCCTAATGCTTAGATCTATGTTTCTCTATTGTACATGCAATTCATCCAAGACTTTCTAACCCTAAATCTAGTGTATATAATCGAAATTAACATCACAAATCAGATCTGGATGTTTACCTTGTTGTTGATTGAAGATCTTGAAGCCTTGAGAACTTTAGCACCTCAAGTGTTGTGCCTCTAGTGAATCACAAACACCAATAGCAATTAGAGGAAACAAGAGAGAGAGAGAGAGAGAGAGAGAGAGAGAGAGGAAAGTTTCGGCTCTAGGACTTCTAGGGTTCCAGTGGCCGAAATTCACATGCCAAGGGGTCCTTTATATAGGTGTAGGAATTAGGGTTTCAATAGTTATCCTTATTTTATTACTTAGCCACCAAGCAGCCCAAGGATAATACTAGAATCCCTATCATGGACGAATTCTTAAGGCTTTATACCTAGAATTCGTCCATCCTATCTATTAGGGTTTCCTTGCCCAACTTTGTAACTATCACATAATTATAGTTTAGCCCCTTAAGTTCAATTAACTTCTTTTGATCACAAAACTAATTCTTAATTAATTATTGACCAATGTTAATAAAACAAATATGATTTCTCTTTTAATATATTAGTCTTATAATATATATTAATAAACCATAATCACCTATTTCTATATTATTCCTCCAGTCAAGTTGCTTTGGTGAAGGCAACCCAAAAGGACCATGCACAACCGGGTCAAGTACATACCAAATATAGTTATGGACTTAGGCACTAATCCAACAGTCTCCCACTTGGATAACTCTAATAACTATAAATGCAAATGCAACTTCTGGATCCGATTAGCAATCGCAGTTCTCAAAACTCTTGATCTTATCAATAACCTGTCCTTCAGATAAGGGATCGTATAATCCTCTGTTCTAGATATCGTGTGGACAATTACATGGAACATAGTCATACTTATTGTCCAGCAGTTAGTTTCTCGATCTCTGATTCTTTTGACATAGAACTTAATTGAAGACATCAATTCAGTCCCGACACATAAGTCAAACAAAATCATAGAGGGGCCCTGATATCGCTATTACCCTCTTATGATAAAAGGAACAGATAAACTTCGACTTATATGCATTTACTATTCACTAATCAAATCATACACAACAATGTGTTTTATAACATCAAGTTACTGATGCGTTTACGCATTATCAATGCACAACCAGTTAGTAAACAACAAACCATATATCTAGGTTTTAAGACCATATGATATTATCGTCTTGCGATCACTCGTGATAAATTCCATGAAGTGATTCCAGCAAGCGCGGGTCTAATCCAATGCTCAAATCAAACTCATAAGCACTCTTGAACGCTGCATCAAACCTTTGCTATGTCTAATACACTTTAGACAATCTACACACCAATTCATGACAATCTTCTTTCATACCTACTCCCAAAGTATGAGCGATTGTGGAACTTTTGAATAATCTTATTATTCAGGAAGTCAAAACACGCAAAATGAAACAATAGTTAAATAATCAACATAAGACAGTAACATTACTTATAAATAATACTCCTTTATTTAATCATCAAATGTCAATTACATTTATCTATTACATGTTTCTAAACTATCTAATCTAAACTAATTTCGTCCCTCAGCCCGATGCTCCTAGCGTGCTGCAAGTGCTTAACCCTACTCAGTCCCTTCGTAAGGGGATCTGTTGGGTTATCTTCTGACGATACCCTCTTCACTACGAGGAGTCCTTCTTCCACTCGATGTCGAATAAAGTGATATTTTCTGTCGATATGTCGAGATCTGCCATGATCCCTCGGTTCCTTGGTCAAGGCAACCGCTCCTTCATTATCACCAAAATTTTCCATGGGCTCCTTTATGGTTGGTACAACTTCAAGGTCTCCAATGAAGTTCTTCAACCATATTGCCTCCTTTGACGCTTCGCTTGCCGCTATATACTCTGATTCGCACGTTGAATCAGCTACGGTCTCCTGCTTGGAACCTTTCCAAGTCACTGCTCCTCCATTTAGGGTAAAGACCCAGCCCGACTGCGAACGGTAGTTGTCCCTGTCGGTTTGAAAACTAGTGTAACTATACCCTCGCACCCTTAAGTCATCACTCCCACCGAGGACTAGAAACCATTCCTTGGTCCTCCGAAGGTACTTAAGAATATTCTTGACTGCGGTCCAATGTGTTTTGCCAGGATTCCCTTGATATCTACTGACCATGCTCAAAGCGAAGGCCACATCAGGGCGAGTACAAGTCATAGCATACATAATCGAGCCAACTGCGGAAGCATACGGTACTCAGCTCATTTCTTCTATCTCGACTTCGGTACTCAGGCTTTGATTCTTACTCAACTTGGCATTACTTTGGATTGGTAACTCCCCTTTCTTTGAATTCTCCATACTAAAACGTTTTAGTACCTTGTCCAATTAAGTATTCTGACTAAGTCCTATCAGTCTCTTACTTCTGTCTCTCACTATCCTTATTCCCAAAATATAGGCAGCCTCTACGAGGTCCTTCATAGCGAAGCACTTCCCAAGCCAGTATTTAACTTCCTTCAGGGTTGGGATGTCGTTTCCTATGAGTAGTATGTCATCGACATACAATACGAGGAAGCTTACTATACTCCCACTGGCTTTGACATATACACACGATTCATCCTCGCTTCGTAGAAAACCTAACTCTTCGACTTTCTCGTCGAAACAAAGATTCCATCTGCGAGATGCTTGTTTTAGTCCATAGATGGACTTCTCAAGCTTACACACTCTATTGGGATGCTTCGCATTGACAAAACCCTCTGGCTAAGCCATGTAAACATCCTCAGCCAACTTCCTATTAAGGAAAGCGGTTTTGACATCCATCTGCCATATTTCAAAGTCATGAAATGCAGCAATGGCTAGCATCACCCTGATAGATTTTATCTTGGTAACTGGTGAGAAAGTTTCATCATAATCAACTCCGGGAGTTTGAGTGAAACCTTTCGCAACCAATCGTTCCTTATAGGTGTGTACATTCCCAACCATGTCGGTCTTCTTCTTGAAGATCCACTTGCACCCGACCGTCTTACGACCTGGTACATTGTCAACCAAATTCCAAACTTGGTTGTCATACATGGACTGAATCTCGCTATCCATAGCCTCTTTCCATTTCGCAGACTCTGGGCGTGCCATGGCTTCTGTAGTAATATGAAAAGCATAAAACTAGGGTGGAACACTAACTCTTTCGGAACATCTAAGAGGTAAAGACTCGTCAATCAGTTCAACCGGAGTTTCCTCCTCGGGTTGAGCGCCAGTGTTAGAGGTTCCTTCATCGCTCGACTCTTGAAGTTCTTCAAGATCGATTTGCCTCCCACTGTCCCCTTGGCTTATGAGTTCTTGCTCTCGGAAAACCCCTCTCCTCGCAACGAAGACAACATTGTCACTCGGTCTATAGAAGAGATATCCAAAGGACTTTTGCGGGTAGCCGATGAAAATACATCGCTCACTACGAGGTTCGAGCTTGTGGTAAGTCTCTCGTCTTACGAAAGCCTTGCAACCCCAAACCTTGATGTGTGCCAATGAGGGAGCTTTCCCTGTCCACATCTCGTGAGGTGTTTTGGCAACCTTCTTCGTAGGGACTAAATTCAGGATATGGACGGCAGTCTCTAAGGCATACCCCCAAAATGAGATAGGTAGTGAAGCACGAATCATCATGGAACGAACCATGTCTAGCAAGGTTCGATTACGCGTCTCAGCCACACCATTCAACTGCGGTGTCCTGGGAGGTGTCAATTGCGAAACGATTCCGCATTCCTTGAGGTAGTCTTGGAATTCAAGACTTAGGTACTCTCCACCTCGATCTGATCGAAGCATCTTGATTTTCCTACCCAACTGATTCTCCACTTTGAACTCTTTGAACTTTTCAAAGGTTTCTGACTTATGCCTGATTAAGTAGATATACCCATATCTGCTATAATCATCAGTGAAAGTCACATAGAAGAGGCTCGCATCCCTTGTGGTGGATCTAAAGGGTCCACATACATTTGCATGTATGAGATTCAATAAACCCTCACCCCTCGCACAAGTGCCAGTGAAGGGTGACTTGGTCATCTTTCCAAATAAACAAGAATCGCACACATCATCGTCCCTAAGGTCGAATGACTCCAATACTCCATCCTTTTGGAGTTGGGCTATGCGATTCTTGTTGACATGTCCAAGACGACAATGCCACAAGCATGCTTTATCCAAATCATTGGAAGAATCAATACACAGTACATCATTTCCTAAATTGTCTACAACCATCACAGTTTCATATATTCCATTATAAGGCAATGCTTCAAAATAGAAACAACCATTAAGATAAGCATTAATAGAACCTTTTTCATTATCAAATGAATATTTAAAACCCTTTCTATACAAACCATGAAATGAAATGATGTTTCTTTCCATATCTGGCGAATAGCAATAATTATTTAAATCTAATCCTAATCCACTACTGAGCATTAAAGAGTAAACTCTGATCTTGGTGACAGGCGACGATCTTCTGTTCCCCATGATCAAATTTATCTTCCCATGCTTCACATCCCTGTTTCTTCTTAGGCCCTACAAATCAGAACAAATATGAAAACCACATCCTGTATCAAGAAACCAAGAAATAGCATGTGATGAATTAATAGTGTAAATACCTGCGTAGGACGGCTTGATCTTTCCATCCTTGATGTCCTGCAGATATTTCAGGCAGCTTCGTTTCCAATGCCCTATTTCGTGGCAGTGGTGGCACTCTGCCTCCTTGGGGTTGGAGTTGGGTTTAGCAGGACCAACCTTGGTTCCACTAGAAGAGGAGCCATTTTGGGACTTTCCCTTATGGTGGCTCTTTGAGGGAGCCTTCCTCTTCTTACCTTTCCTTTTCCCAATTGCCAGGACTGGGCCAACAGTAGGAGTTGGAGTTGATGCAACATATTTATCTTTGAGGTTTCTCTCAGTAGTTCTCAACAAGCCCTGAAGCTTGCTCAAAGAGACCTCCTCCTTGTTCATGTGGTAGGTCATGCGGAACTGGCTATAGCAGGGAGGCAAGGAATGAAGGATGATATCAATTTCCAGCTCTTCATCAAAGTTCATATTCAACTTTAGCAGGCGATCGACATATCTCTGCATCTTTTGCAGATGAGCAGTAAGGGACTCTCCATTACCCATTTTGGTAGTGATCATCGAAGTGATGATCTCGTACCTTTCTTGCCTAGCGCTTTGGTGGTACCGGTCCAGCAGATCCTGATGCATTTCATAGGGGTACATGTCCTCATAGAACTTCTGGAGTTCTGCAGTCATAGTCACTAGCATGATGCAATGGACTTTCGTGGCATCATGCTCATGGGCCTCAAAGGTCGCGATCTCTTCAGCAGAGGCAGTGTTGATGTCAATCTCCTTTAGCTTCTCATCGGGGACATACTCTTTGTCCTCGTAACGAGTGACCATTCGAATGTTGCGGATCCAATCATTGAAATTGGACCCGTCAAAGATCACTTTCCCACAGAAGTTCATGAGTGAGAATGAGCCAGAGGAAGTTGAACCGGAAGCGTTGTTGTTGACGTTCGACATCTGAAAAGAACAAAGAACAAAGTTTGATTAGAAATGAATCCCCAATTAAACACCCAAATGAAAAATTAGGGCTAGGATCCAACAACATTATTTACAAATTAGAAGAGTTCTCATTGGAACTCGTCGATTTCATCCAACTCGTCGAGTTCTCAATGGAACTCGTCTAGTTCATCATACAGAAAGCCCAAAAATGTTTTTAAGGCATGAATGAACATACAAGGCATCAATACAATAGAAACCAAACAAAGCTCTGATACCACTGATGGGTTTGAGCCAAAAGAACATCCTATATGCTCATGGAAACCCTAATGCTTGGATCTATGTTTCTCTATTGTACATGCAATTCATCCAAGACTTTCTAACCGTAGATCTAGTGTATATAATCGAAATCAACATCACAAATCAGATTTGGATGTTTACCTTGTTGTTGATTGAAGATCTTGAAGCCTTGAGAACTTTAGCACCTCAAGTGTTGTGCCTCTAGTGAATCACAAACACCAATAGCAATTGGAGGAAACAAGAGAGAGAGAGAGAGAGAGAGAGGGAGAGAGAGAGAAAGTTTCGGCTCTAGGACTTCTAGGGTTCCAGTGGCCGAAATTCCCATGCCAAGGAGTCCTTTATATAGGTGTAGGAATTAGGGTTTCAATAGTTATCCTTATTTTATTACTTAGCCACCAAGCAGCCCAAGGATAATTCAAGATCCCTATCATGGACGAATTCTTAAGGCTTTATCCCTAGAATTCGTCCACCCTATCTATTAGGGTTTCCTTGCCCAACTTTGTAACTATCACATAATTACAGTTCAGCCCCTTAAGTTCAATTAACTTCTTTTGATCACAAAACTAATTCTTAATTAATTATTGATCAATGTTAATTAAACAAATATGATTTCTATTTTAATATATTAGTCTTATAATATATATTAATAAACCATAATCATCTCTTTCTATATTATTCCTCCACTCAAGTTGCTTTGGTGAAGGCAACCCAAAAGGACCATGCACAATCGGGTCAAGTACATACCAAATATAGTTATGGACTTAGACACTAATCCAACAGAAAGATGGTGACCATCTAATGATTGTCCAAATTTATGTCGATGATATCATTTTCGGATCTACTAATCCTAGATTAACCGCTGAATTTCGAAAATTGATGGAGACTAAGTTTGAGATGAGCTCAATGGGTCCGATTAACTTTTTCCTTGGTTTGAATATAAGACAGAGTCAAGAGGGAATATTTATCAAAACAGGAAGCTTATACGAAGACCTTACTTGCGAACTTTGGAATGGTGGGAGATTCGAAGGTGAAGGTTCAAATGGCATTCAGAATGAAGTTAACACCATCTTTGGACAAACCAGCAGTTGATGTGACTTTATATCATCAAATGATAGGATCATTGATGTATCTAACTGCTAGTCGTCCATAGATTATGTTTTCTATTTGTTATTGTTCCAGGTTTCAAGCAAATCCTCGCGAACCCCACATGACTGTTGTGAATAATATCTTCAGATATCTTAAACGAACTACTTCGCTCGGAATATGGTACCCATCCAGCTCAGTGTTCTTTGTACAATCATTCTCAAATGCTGATATCGGAGGTTGTGGTCTTGATCGCAAAAGTACAATCGGAGGATGTCAATTTCTTGATGGCAAACTCCTCAGTTGCAAGTCTAAGAAGCAAACATGCGTCTCCC